ACATTCGCCAGCACATATATATTAGAATACATAAATCCGACTATCAACCATATCAACATGACCACAATACTCGCTCTAAGGATCTTTTGTTGTCAAATACTCATAGAACAGCATGGTATGAAAAAAGTGTTGATTTTGATGGCTGTAAATTCTACAATATTTTTCCCGAAGATATCAAGGATTCTCAGAGCACTCATGTTTTCCAAAATAGGCTCAAGAAACTGCTGCTTCAAATGAACTATTACACTTTTCAGGAATTTATCGAACAACTGTACATTATAGACTAACGAAAAGCTCACTCACATTCATAATATAGTTGACTTACCATCTATATTGCTATGATGACAAATTATTCAATTGATTCTATATCTACTCACATTTTTTGTATTTATGCTATGCTTATGAAGACACTTCTCCAATTATTGTACATTGTAACAGTATAGATCGTTAACATATAAAATGAACAATATTGGCCCGAGGATTGAGCCTTGAGGCACTCCGTGTTTCAATTCAATGAAGCTCGATTGATTATCATCTAATATGGTGCACTGCAGTCTGTTTTTCAAGTAGGAAGAAAATAAAAATCATGTGGCTTGCCACGAATACAATAATAATCCATTTTATCAAGAAGAATATAATGTGAGACACAGTCGAAGGCTTTCGTCAGGTCACACATTGTAAGAATTGTGTGTTTGCCCTCTTCCAATCCTTCGACTATGTCAGTCACAATTTGCAGTAGAAATAGTTGAAAAGTTCTTCCTGAAGCCATATAATATTTGAAAATTTTCTAAGTATTGTGTTATATGATGACTATTCGTAAATTTCAGTGGTGAAAAGCGTGTCCACACTCCTCAAAGGGCATGAAATGTAATGTTCGAGGCACCTTATATGACTATCAATCAGCTATCCAAAAAAATGGTAAGTCGGATGAATATGCTGAATTCCAAATATTCATTGAAATGTTTGGATTTTCCGATGGCATAGACAAGTTTAAGAAAAATAAATTGTAAGTGCTCACACTGCTCAGTGTCCATTTGTATTAACTCTGGCTGTGTCAAGCACCGACTTAAAGACTTATCTAGACCGCCAATTCTATAAGGAATAAGGTGAGCCACTCAGGAGATCGAACTGGTGAAACGGAAGCATGCGCATTTTGGATCTGTCATGTTACACTCATGAACTCGAGGAACATATCAGGTGTCATATACCTTCCAATGCTCAAATTTGAGAATTTTATTTCAAGAACGGCGCTTTTGCATGTGGTTTCAATGTCTTAGACTTGCTTGGAACCATCAGAAAGCTGTATGATATGAAATAGTCTGAACATATTTTTCCTGAATCGCTAAGATCCAATGGCCAACTAATAGCCTCAAACTATTTATTTATCTCATCAATAAGAATTCTAGAGTCATCATTAAATGAGTAAACTTCTAATCCAAAATAGATGAGCAAGTATGGCACCTTACACCTACAGACAGTACCTGAACTCAAATTCGTCACAGCTGAATGATTATTCAAAACATGCCTGATCATGAAGATAAGGGTAATTTACAGATTTCTCCTTCCTCAATTAATTAATCAATAATTTTCTTCCACAAATAACACACACGATTCTTCAAAACTATTTAGTGACATATATTTTCCTCTCAGGGCAAATTATTGAACAATACTAGACCTTTTGTAAATAAAGTATCTAAGACATGTATATAGAGATCATTTGCTGCTTGTCTTCTGGTATTGTGACAATGTGCATCTTGAACATAATTCCGGATATATATACTATATTGAGGTTATGTTTGTCATTTTTCAAAAAATATGGCAGCTGCAGAATGCCAGAGATCGCAGCATTGTCGTCTGTCGTTCAACACCTGCCTTAGATCTATACCAAAAAATCAATATTTTTCAAAATCTGACGAAAGATAACCTCAATCAGATGACAAAGCTCTATCGTTTAGAGAAATAAAATACAGGGAGTTTTGTTTGAAAAATACCAGTTAATGTAAAATTCAAAAACTTCACAAAAGATGAGATTTCCACAAAATCCTCAATCACACGACATGTTTCGCTAACACAGTAGCTTCATCAGGTGAACTACTGGTACAATGAAATAAACTAACCTTGGCTTGCCTTAGTTTTATATATCCTATACTTTTCCAACCTGAAGGACAGATTCGATAAACCTTCATTATCGGAAAATAGGCACAATATATGTATCTACATCAAAATACGGTGTACCGGATCAACTTGAAAGGGTTGATACATATTATTACCTACTAAGGAAACAAATTCAACAGTGGTGAACTATTGTCGTCGAGTTGATGGTTGAGTAGAATGTTAGAATTTTTGAGTTTGTTGATTTCTAATGATTCAAAGTGATTGAGTTCTATTCCTTCATTTTCTACGTGTAGAATTTCGAAACTATCATCAAAACTATGGTTTTCTTCTAATATATGGTTGGCGTCTAATTATGTTTGGCGTCAACCATATATTAGAACACGTTGAAAATAAAGGAATACAACTCAATCATTTCGAATCATAAGAAATCAACAAACTCCATAAATGTAACATCTCACCAATAGATGGTAGTAGTGTTGAATTTATTTTCTTAGTAGGTAACAATATGTATTAGCATTTCACCTGATGAAGCTACTGTGTTAGCGAAACGTGTCGTGTTATTGTGGAAACCTCATCGTTTGTGAAGTTTTGACATTTGTCATGGATTTCCATCAAGTAACGGCCGAGTGAATATACACTCAGATCCAAAAAAGTGACGCACTTAATATTTGACTTATCTTCTTAAAAAAAAATAGTAGGCCGAATGGCATAGAAAGTGCTTACAGCCTATACGAAAGAGGCTTCTTTTGCTAGCATTTTGTTTTTTTATTCATTTATTTATCTCTGAAATTTTTCGAATTACAGCTTTTTTTTGCTGAATCCTTGCAGATTACCAACTTTCTGAATTTATCGAGAAACAATTTTCTAATGAAAACTGATAGGTACCAATAATTTTAAAAAACATTTTTATTAAACACAAAATTATGAATTGGGATGACTGCTCAATACCGTGCATTGCCTCCTCTAGCAACTCTAAGAACTTCTAATCAACGAGGCATACTGGAAATTAAGTTGCTTATCGTTTCCATTGGTATACGATCCCATTCTTCCACTAATGCATCTGCCATTTCTGCGAGACTTTCCTGAGACCTCTCGCGAGAATGTACCCACCCTTCTCCCTAATTCATCCCACAAATGTTCTATAGGATTCATATCGGGGCTTCTCGCAGGCCATTGTAATGTGGTAATACCAGTAGCTTCTAAGAAGTTTCGCACTATTGCTGCGGTGTGTGGTCGGGCATTATCCTGCATCAATATAAAATTATTGCCCACTAACTCTGCTTAAGGTAAGACATACTGCTCTAAAATGTCAATGTAAATTTTGGCGATCATCGACTGCCTCACCGGAAAAACATTCATTGAAATCCCTCTCCACACCATAACGGACACACCATTAAAACTTTCGCATTATGTTATTAAATTTTGATTGAACCGTTCACCAGTTCTTCTCCACACTGTTTTCTCCCATCCACTATGTTAAGGCAAAACCTTGACTCATCCGTAAACAAGACATTCGACCATTCAGGAATATTCCACTGTCCATAATTTTCAACAAAATTTCTTCTAGCAGCACGATGTTCGGGCAATAATTTGAGACCTTTTGCAAGTCTCCTATAGCTTTCAAATTAACTTCTTTTAGACGTCTACATACCGTCTGCTTACTTACTGCAACATCACGAATTTGACGAAGATCTTGCTGAACATTCACCGCAGTATTTGATCGATTCCGGAAAATCCGCAATCTCAAGAAGCGAGCATCTCTTGGAGAAGTTTTTCGGGGGCGACCAGAACCGATCCTCCGAGCGGTGCTTCCTGTTTGTTCGTACTTGCGGATTGCTCTACGAGCTGTTGCTTCATGAACTCCCACTGCACGAGAAGCGTAACGTTTACTACGACGCCCATCGTTTACTAACGCAACTAATCTTGCTACTTGTTCAGGATTTTTTATTTGAGGCATTTTATGTAATTTTAGTCAATAAAAGAAGACACTTAATTAATGACACAACGACAAATGGTCAAATATGGAGGCATATACAACAAATTAGTTGCTATGGCAACGGCATTTGGTTTTTTAAAGACAATGTGATCCTACCAGAGTACATCCCAATCAATTTTGAGTACTCTGATCCTTCAATAAATTTAATTTGTGGGATAAGCGTAAGGTATCAGCAAAAAAGCTGTAATTCGGAAAATTTTAGCTACAAATCAATGAATAAAAAAACAAAATGCTCGCAAAAGAAGCCTCTTCCGTATAGGGTGCAAGCACTTTGTATACCATTACTCAATTAACTCACAGGGTGAGTCAAAAATTAAGAATAAATCATGGTTCGAGTTATTCCACCACCATCAAGGAGGCTTTGAAAAAATGTTTACCTCTTTATTTTTCTTAAAGACAAATGCACTAACTACCAACAAATGAAAACAAAATAAAAATCGGCCTACTATTTTTTTTTTTTCAAGAAGATAGGTCAAATATCAAATGCGTCACTTTTTTTGGAACTGAGTGTATATAAAATTTTTAGGTTCACGATGCTTCTTGCATTTTCTAGTACCTACTAGATTATTCTGCATGTCCATAAAAAAGACTTCACTTTTACCCATTTGTACGTTTATGTAAGACCAATATAATTTCAACTGAGATAGCAATTGAGTAAAATATAAACAATCACCCTGTACATATACATGCAACAATCTCCTGATACTGAAAACTCAAACAACATGCTGAATTATTATTCCATAGCGATGTCAGACAGAAAAGTCCATGAATTCTAATGTAGTTATGTTAGGCTTATTTAAACGGTATACAAATTGATATCATCCTTTTATCATCGATCCAAGGTTTCGAAACATTCGAAATATCACCGAATCTGTTGATTATATTCGACATATATTCAGTTCCATTTGTGTATTCAAGATGTTGGTGGAAGCCGCGATATTGTTAGCCAGTTTGGTTTTACTCGCAACTTTATTCGTGAAGTACAAATACGGATACTGGAAGAGAAGAAATGTGCCTTATTTGGAACCAACGTTTCCCATTGGAAATAATACGAGCTTCTTGCCGAAAGGAATATCAATTGGAATAATATCTAATTATTTCTATAATGAATTCAAAAAGAGAGGGTTGAAAGTGGGCGGTGAGTTCTCTATTAACAGCTACGTTCAATCAAAAACAGAAATACAGGGTTCCCCATAAGTCATGAATCAAAATAAGTGGGGTGATATGGAGAGGGATCATTTTCAATAAATAAATAAACTAAGCGTATACATGTGGTTTTCCAATAATTGTTGATGATTGATAAGCTATTGATTTTTTTACATTTCTCCCTGAAATCATGTAGTTTGTTCACTAAAAACTTTTTTTTATCACAAATTTTATCCACATTGATGCACTTTCCCCAAGAAATCATTTTTTTCTGCAACCGACACAAAAGTCGTCCATTTTGATACCAAGATTAGCTCTTAAATTGACGTTTCTATTACTGACACAAAAATGGGTATGTTGCTTGGCAACATATTTAGTTCCTAGGAGCTAAAATTAGATTTTAGTTCCTAGGAGCTAAAGTTGAACTTTAGCTCCTAGGAACTAAAAAGGATGTACTGGACGTCATCAAGAATAAACAACATTGTGACGGTTGGTTATTTTGGGTTGAAACGCATACCTGATTTGTTTCCGATGTCAGCAGATTTGTCATTTCATACCCATGCTGGAGATATAAATACACCTTATTATAGTTTAGTATTGGAATCATAAACCTCTCAGCTAAGTATTTTTGTTTGATCAGGGAAGCCTTCAAGATTCAAATACTTGCTTGATCTGTATTCCATTCGTTATTCTCGGGATGGATAACCTGTTTTTAAATAATCACGGCAAGAAATAGTTTTTTGTCTCAAACAACGATATTGTTTAGCTTCATTTGATTATCAAGTCGAACACAGTGTAGTATGGAGACGAATAAATAAATCACTATTATCATTGTTGATATGCTTACTAGCCTAACATTTTCCACGTCTTGTTCCTATAGCTGGCACTAGCACGGTATTTGCCATTAGAGCACCTGTTCCATACACAAATATGTCACTCTGTAGTTGTATTTATATTGAAACTACAATTCGAACATCCTTGAAAACCTAACCTGCTGTTAATGCAGGTAGAATATTCTTACTACATGGATTATCTGTCAATATTTGTTGCATTGCATACATATGGCACGGCATTGGTGGTTACTTCACATGTTTATTTGAGTTAATTGTTTCGGTTGCAGAAAAAATAGCATGTTTCATTCGGATAAAAAGTGACTTTGTTCGACTCGCAAATTTTGCTTTCGCTCGGCTGCGCTAAACGCTCCGCCTCGCAAATGCAAAATTCGCTTGTCAAACAAAGTGTCACTTTTGCTCCTAATAAAACAATCTACTATTATGTACTACCGGGCGTGGAGTAGCACTTAACCGCCTGGTTTTGTGGGCGTAAAGTAACACTTTACCGTTTGTGGACTTCTTCACCGTCACGTCAAAAATCCTAGGGTGCCAAATTTGGTGAAAATAACTCAAAACTCATAACACAAAAATTCAATTTCAACACCCTGTATAATAATAATAATATCGCTTTTATTGGTACAGGTTATAGAGATACCATACAAAAAAGATGATATAATGACAAAAAAAAATCTATACCCTGCAGAGCAAAAGCCAAAGTTCGTTCTACTGCAGATTGGGCAACCATACCTGAAGTAGTTGAGCTCTTCCATGCACTTAACCATGAACATGCGTGCGCATACATGCACATGCAGATGCATTCATACAGATATATACACACAGACACACACACACATATACTTATACTACATAAATTAACACAATATTAAAAAAACACTAGCAGTATAATATATAATAATAATAATGTCGAAGCATGTACAATACAAAAATAAGATTCAACAAATTGACAAGGATCCATCCAAAATTGCAAGTTTAATTTTTTTCTCAAAAGGACTCACTGAGTAAATTCTTCGCACATCAAGGGAAAGGTTATTGTAAGTTTTAGCAATATTGTGAGAAAATGAAGATTTGTATAATGAACTTTCATGTTTTGGAATGGTTAGATTGTGTTTATGACGTAAATCAACAGGTGTCTTTGTGGTGATAATTTTATGATAAAACGAACATCTGTGAAGGAAGCGTCTCTCTTTCATGTTCAACCAACCTATTTCATTCAAAGAGGCTGAAACATGATCACGTTTGCGCAGGCCACAAATGAGACGAACACACGAGTTTTGGATTAGTTGTATTCGTCTGCTCTCAGATTTGAGCAAGGCTGGACCATAAATACAGTCGGCATGATGGAATTTTGATAACACTAACGAGTGACAAAGAAGTATTTTGAAGATTTTATTCAAAATTTTTCTATTGGAGAAAATCATTTTGAGACTACAGAATGCTTTTTGAATAACTGAAGATACATTTTTTTTGTATCTAAGATCGATGTCAATGTGTAATCCTAAACTCTTTTATTCGTGTGAAGAAAAATTGAGGGAGGTATTATCAACAGTACAGTTCACAAGAGGTGCAACACATTTTTGAGCTGCTTCTTTACCGAATAGTAATGCTTCTGATTTCGATGGATTAATTTTCAAACAGAATTACAGAGATGCAAGTTGCTGTAGATCTTCGTTAATTTTATTGCAAGCAGAATCAACATCGTGCTCATGAAAAGAATGGTAGAGTTGGGTATCATCCGCATAAAAGCATAAAAATTAGTTGTGCATGTTTTGATACTCTTGTGAAGTTGAGAAGTATATAGGGTGAAAAGTAAGGGCCCGAGTATGGACCCCTGTGGAACGCCACATATCACTTCAAGGAAAGTCGAAGAATTCCGCTCAATAACAACAGACTGAGATCGATTAGATAGATAATTCCGTATTAGTTCACATGATCCCGCCGAAAACCCTAAATGTCCCAGAATGGCAACCAGTAGCTGATGACATACCATATCAAAAGCCTTCGAATAATCAATGAGGAAGCATTTCCGGACACTCTTCTATTAGTACTCGGGCAATCGCATATAACATGCAAGTTTCCCAGTCTACAGTTAGTCGAGAAGCGCACGTGAACAACAATTGTATCCGTTCCACTTACAGAAGGTGATGGCGCTGAACGCTGGTGATTATGGTCCCCGTAGGGTTTTTTTCTGAATGTTTTTTTGGGAAATACAAAGAAGCAAGTGACTTTCGTAGATATGTATTATTCACCGATGAGGCGCATGTTTCACAAGAGACGGATAATTCAATAGTAGGAATAGCCATTTATGGGATGAAGAAAATCCTCATGGCATGTTCCGAAAAGGCTACCAACAGAAGTTTTCTGTCAATATTTGGGCAGATATTGTCGAGAATCATATTGTGGGACCATATCTTCTTCCTCCTCTTTTGAATGGACAGTCCTACAGGATTTTTCTAGATGAAGTTCTTCCTGGTTTACTTGAAGAAATACTTATCTAAGTCCGCCAAAGAATGTGGTATCAGCACGACAGTGCAACGGCCCATTCCCAGCATACAGTTCGTCAATTTCTTGACCAGAATTTCCCTGATCAGTAAATTGGTAGATATGGTCCCGTTCATTGGCCTGCACGTTCTGCCGATTTAACTCCACTAGATTTTTTCCTTTGGGTGTACCTCAAATCCATAGTCTATTCGGGTGCGTAGCGCGATGCCCAATTCCTACGATGCCCAATTCCCACGATGCCCAATTCCCACGATGCCCAATTCCCACGATGCCCAATTCCTACGATGCCCAATCTCATGTCGACGATTACGAAGATTGCCGAAGAGCGCAACGTTGCCAGGTTATGAGAAAAAATCAGAAAATACGAGATTCCCACCATGCCCACTTTTCATAGATTCCCACGATGCCCAATTCCTACGATGCCCAATTCCCACCATGTCCACTTTCCTTCGATTCCCACCATGCCCAATTTTCATAGATTCCCACGATGCCCAATGCCTACGATGCCCAATTCCCACCATGCCCAATTTCCTTCGATTCCCATCATGCCCACTTTTCATAGATTCCCACGATGCCCAATTCCCACCATGCCCAATTCCCACCATGCCCAATTCCCACCATGCCCAATTTCCTTCGATTTCCATTATGCCCACTTTCCTTCGATTCCCATCATGCCCATTTTTCATAGATTTCCACGATGCCCAATTCCCACGATGCGCAATTCCCACCATGCCCACTTTTCATAAATTCCCACGATGCCCAATTCCTACGATGCCCAATTCCCACCATGCCCAATTCCCACCATGCCCAATTCCCACCATGCCCAATTTCCTTCGATTTCCACCATGCCCACTTCCCTTCAATTCCCATCATGCCCATTTTTCATAGATTCCCACGATGCCCAATTCCTACGATGCCCAATCCTCACCATGCTCACCATCTTTGCATGAATTCCAACCATGTTCACCCCTTATAGATAATACAAGGTGTGAATTCTTCATAATAACTTTTTATCCTCTTAGATAATCCCATGAAATTCCGTACACACCTTCTTATTATTGAGGAGCAATTATTGACGTGTGAAGTTTTTTGAAATTTTCACCAGTGACGTCTGTGCTGATTTTTTTGAAAATGAAAATTACAATTGAAATCTCCGTTAATTTTGAAACAAATTTGATTCTGAGATTGTTCTCAGTATTCTGTTAAAATTCACTAGGCACCCACTATGAATGGAATCACATCTTGTTTTGGGACGAAATTCAAATATCTACATTTACCAGGATTGTTCCCGTAGGTCTGATAATGAATGTTCTGATTTAAAAAACCTGTACGTCTCTGATTTCAGCACCCTGTAGCTCAAAAACCGAGAGCGTCAGGACCAGGGGCGTACCTACACCGCCGTATCAATGATATGGGGCCCCCGGGTTACAGGGGCCCCTGAATTGTGTAAACGGAAATTCTTCAAGAGTTATAATGCCAATCTTACTCGAACTAGTAGAATGTAGATTTGGCGACCAGATCTTGCAACTGGAGAGACTCTTAATTTCTTCATAATTGAAAAAAAGATATCAGGAAATTGTCTGCTGAATACAGTGAAGATATGTCAGTTGATCTGTTTAAACAATTAATTAAAATAAAA